AAATACCTATCTACCCTCTTGCAAGAATCTTACATGCTTTCAGCAAAGAAAAAAATACTGGTTTATTTATAAACACTTGGTTTAAATAAGCATTTTGTTGTTCTTTGACAATCTTTCTGATCAAAGGATATCTGCATTTTAAGTGTTATTGTAAAATAAACAGATTTAATCATCAGAGAAGACAGTTACTAATAAGAACATTACTAATTGTGTGTTACCACATAACAGCATCTATAGATGCGGAACTCAAAAGCAAATTCATTGGCATTTGACAACCTAAAGGACTCCTCATCTATTATTTAAAAACCTCATTTGTTTCCTGAAACTAGATACAAGGCCCTCTCCTGTGGTAACCGTGGAGTCACTTCCAAGCTCCTTGAAGGCTCCAATTTATGTTTACTAAGCAAACATCTGTAGCATCTGAAGAGTTAATGGATGCTTGTTACCACTTCTGCTGGAGATTGCCAACCTTGCAGCAAAACCAACAGGACACAGCACAGACCCATACCTCCACTACTCCACCCCACAGCTGCATGTCTTCAGGTAAATCTGTTTTTGTCAGGGGTTTAAGCCAAGGATCAGATTAAAATGGACGAGATAGCTCACTCTGCTCTGAGGATGATACTTTTGGTAGTAAGTAAAAAAAGAGACCTCTAACTTTAAAAGAATCACAAGAAGAGCCACCAGCAGTAGCATAGCAGAACCCTAGGAGAAGCTGCGTTATTTTGAAGATATGTCTGGACTAATCTACCAGTTAGAAACATTTTAGTTGTTTCTTTCTTTTCCTTCCTGAGGAAGCAATTAAAAACAAGCAGCTGGGCAATATCCTTGCAGGAGAAAAATTTGGAGTTACTTAAGCAGTTTTTCTGAATTGGCTACAATGTCACACAAATTCCACCATTCATACCACAAGAAGGAACAATACATACAAATGGAGAGCAGCACTGGTTGTGGTTTTTTTTTTTGCCATACAGGTACAAATGAACCTTTATACTGCAATGAAGTAGAGAGATAGATAAAAGAATTAAGAAATGCAGTAGTCGTATTACTGTTAGAACTGAAATGCAGTGATACAATGAGGATATCAAAAGAGAGAGCTGTCTCCTGCTGGTAAGGTAAGGTGCTATTGGAACCACTTTTCAAAGCATTTGGTTTAAATCGAGTTCTGGTATATCAGGCATAGAGCAATCAGTGAATTATATGCTGTTTTAGAGACAGAGAAGGCAAGAGAGAAGAGTAACTCTCCACGCATGAAAAGGAACAAAAACATTCTAGCACGATCACCTCTGGGCTTTACTTTAAATGTGTACTTTAAATGCACTGTTACCTTATTTTCTTTGTCCAAAACATACATTCTCAGAACATTAGCAATGTTCTGAGGAAGGGCACACTGCGTGCTTTAACATAGCAACTAATACAAGTTATGGGTAAAATAATGGATCTTCTGAAGCCATGGAATTTACACTCAGTTCAATGTGCATTAGGATTTCATTTCCAAGCCTTTGTAAAAATGGATGAGTGAGAAGAGAGCACACGTGACAGATTACTGAAACTTTTAACCTTCAGGAACTGCACAAATCCCTGTTATCAGCTGTAAGAGAAATGTAAAAACACCCCAGATGATCCAAAATATCAAAACTGTCATCAAAGCATTAGCACCTCAAGATTTAGAGTCCCAAACAGATGCCTTCATGTTCTAAATGACTGACTTGAACAGGAGTAATTTCGTTAGGATACAAATGGCTTTGAACATTATCTCTAGCCTTTGAGTCCAAAATTATGACACTTAAAACCGGCATCAGTTTTGGCTGCTGATGAAAGGAACAGTTCTACAGATCTGTCATTCCTAACTTCTCCTTCCTGGGACTTCCCTTGGGTCAGCATCAGAGACATGAGTTGGATGCAAGGTTCTGTCACAGTTCACCTCTGAATCTCCCAAAAGCTTCCAAAGCTCCCACAGACTTCAACTGGCAGAGTAGATGCTGAAAGCTTTGAAAGGGATCTTGGTACCCAGAGTTTCTATTTGCACCAGAATGGTTTCCCCTCTCTGTATAGGTTGGACAAGGATAACAATCATTAATGTTTGGATAAGGGCAGGCTCACTCTACTAGTGGTTGTGCTGTTGGAGATGCTGTCAAAGACTGATGAAACCCATGGGATTGCCTGAGGTAAACTTCAGAGAAAATAATCCAGCTAGCTTTGGTAGTTAAACTACCAGTTAAACACTGACAGTTAAACTGGTGAAACTAGAAACTGGTTTGTTGCCAGCACGGTTGATCTTAGCACACAAAGAATATTCAAGTATCTTTCACTACTGTGAAGATGGTAGACTTCTGCTAGAGGAAGCTGGTGTCTTCTGTCAATCAACTCAATTGCTGTGGAGACCCTGAATTTGTTTTGCCTGTTCCACCTTTCCATTCATACGCTCACTTCAACCTCTGCGCCTTCCCCATCATCAGCTGAACGCTTCAATTTCTCACTTTTGCATCAGGCGTTTAGCAGCAGCAGTGATCGATCTGTCCAGTTCTGTTTACATTAGTCTAAGTACCAGATGTGTTTGTGCTGTATCAGAAAAAAATTAAGTTTCACGAACGCTGTAATCTGTGATGTGATCTGCTCTCTGACAAACAAGCTGTTGGTGCTTCGTTTCAAACACCACTGCATAAAAGCCTCCTTCCTCTCCTAGGGTTGCCATAACAACAAGCAGAGCGCTGTCATTTTGCTAAGTAATGACAATGACAAATATGTAAGAAATGCAAAGGTCTGGGGAACTGGGAGCAAGATTAGAGCTTCTCTTCCTGCCTTTACAAAACATTTTACTCAAGATTCATCTTGTAAATCCTAAGCTGTTCCTATGGGAACATGAGGAATAGCTAGTGTTAGTGCTCTGTTGCCTCATTTTTCAGAAAGCCAGTGTTCTTCTTGTGGATGCTTTGTCAAGACATAGCACAGCATTAGTAATCAAGGGTATAGGACATGATCTTGAGCTCACAAATACCTGCAAAAATCTGGAATGAATCCTAATTTCAGAGGGAAATAAATTGATAATGCTGACACACCTTTTTCTCTTTAGTAGGTAAGAAGGGGTTGCAGCAAGGATGCCGTTTTATTGAATAAATAAAAATCATGGACAAATGACTCCTTCATTAAACTATTATCTGAATGATTCTTCACTTAACCATGAGAATGGAAAGTATTCTCTTCTTAATTGATTCAAGAAAAACACCTAGGACACCAACCAGAAAGATGAACACTGACATTCTTACCACTTCATCATGAAAGCTAGCTGTTTTTTCAGGTGATTTTCATTTAGGATCATTCAACCTCTGATTTAACAGAAGAATTAATGTTATTTAATTTTTCCATGTCGGGGGAAAAGCAGTATTTTAATGTACATAGTCAAAACACCATTTTCCTTTTCCATTGCACTTTCAAAATGTGAGTATTCTCTTTTCTTGCCTACTACTTAGAACAGTTACATTTTCCCTCTGTTTGTTGCATCTATTAATCTGACTGAAACTACAAGCTTGACCCTAAAAGTACAGAAAACAAGAGTCATCCCTCACGCTTCCACCTTTCTTCTAAAACCATCACATGCACAGTGGCTGTTCCATGACCCCAGTTTCCAGACACGATGATCATGAGCCTGGTTCCCAGCTAGACATTATCAGTCATACAATTCCTTGACATAAATATGAAACTCCTCTCCAGTCACCCTGTACTCCTGCCACCTTCCAGGCTTGGCACAGCTTCTGTGGTGCTCCTGGAACCTGTCAGTCCAAGACAAAAATGGACTTGTGTCCATGTTGAGCTAATCACCTCTCCTGCAAGATCTTCTATTGGCCTGATTTCACTGCTCTCATAAGCTCCCCTTAGATCTGTATGTCTGTACATACTGATTTTAACAGTTTAGGGCTTAAGAGACTTTCTACATCTGCCTTGGGGTTTTGATGCGTATACAGAGGACAACCAATAACAAATCAGAAACTCACCTAATGATAAAATCCACAACATGTGAAGAAACTGTGTTTGTTAACAATCAATAATATGTATGTACTGTGACAACTACACAGCATCTATGCTTCTCTTTTCAGAAAGCTGAGATCTTTAATGATAAATGAGGTTAAAAAAAAAGACTAAAAATCATAGTTAGTCTCTTAAACAAGCATTTTGTATGACACACCATCTATTTTAAAGCAGAACTCTCCTTGGATTATAATGGGGCTGGTAAGCTAAATCAGGACATACTTGAATATTAAGAGGGAAAAACTCATTGCTATAAAATCTAATGACAGCCCAACACCCACCTGTGTCTTAAACTACCTAAAAGAGCATTTAAAAAAATATAAAACAATCGACCTCAAGTGATTAATGAAGTCCAACAAGGTTTATGAAAGGGATGTAGCTTTAGTAATTAATCTGTCCATGTGAAATAATTATTTTCACTTATTAGAAAAAAATTGAAGATGCATAACAAGTATATAGTCAGATGACAAGACAAGGCACAAAGATAGGAAAGAGAAAATAGATAGGCACTAGTGAGATGGACAGAGTATTCCTGCATGTTTGATCACAAGTTTCCCTAAATGCAACAAACATTGCTGCTTCTCTATAAGACTAGATAACTAGGTTTGCACTACAGAACTTCAGGCACTCAAATAAATTAGGCAAATTAGATGGCAAGAGATAAGATGTCCCCAGTTCCCCAGAGAGAACTGTGATACATTCTGGAGGTGACATACAGCATATAACATCAAGTCTTTTAACATTATTTTAGTAATCACATAATAAATTCAGCAGGCAAGTTCTGAGATTTATATAGCCTTGAAACCTCCCAAGTCTCAAAATCCAAGTGATTTCATAGTTATCTTGACATCACAGAAAACCAAGAATTTCATATACACACATAAACCTCATCAAGACAGGCGGACATAACTCACACAGGATCATACTCCTGCAAAGAGTAACTACAGTGACAGTTTAAAAAAATTTCTTCTTACCTGCTGCTGCTTCAGAACTGGTGCTATCTTTAACTACACAAGCTGGACTTAGGGGCAAAACGTCATCATCAAAACTGATCAGATCTCCTTCCACATCTAGTTTGTTTTGCAAAGCAGGTGCTGAGGAGTTGGCTGCAGGTGACAATTCCCCTAGAGACTTGAAAGCTTTTTCTTGGACAGATACAGAAGCCCGTGAGGGAGCAGCAATTGGTTTTAGTGAGGCCAAAGAAAGGGCAGGATTTTCTGCATATTGTGACTTTTTAGGAACAAGAGGCCTTGGAGCAGGAACAGGAAATTTCTTTTGTACATTGCTGTTCTCTGCAACTGATACACTCCTTGCATCAAGAAAATCACTACTACTACTTTTAACAAGACCAGGTTTTGGCTTCTTTGGCAGTTCAGGTTTGGTTACAACACTGCTCCCAACTACTTCAGGTTGAGGAAATTCCTTGGAAGGTGTTGATTTGCTTTCTGTCCATGCATCCCAGTCTCCTGAAATTCTGCTTACCCCTGGCTTTGGAGCAACTACTGGCTTCTTTGCAGTAACAGGTCTTGGGGTGAATGAACGAGGGGCAACTTCTGGCTTTTTTGATAATCCTGAGGTATCATTACTTCCTTGGGATTCAAAAACTTTGATCCTTGAAACAATACTATTTTGGCTCTTTTCAGTACTCATGCTGTCCATCGCCAAGTGATTGTCTAGCAAGCTATCATTTAAGAGAGGTGACTGCTGAATTGGAGGTTGCTGCCTTTTTGTGGTAGACTGGTTCACTTCTCCGTTGTCTGTCTTATTTTCAGTATTTTTGACCACAGGTCTGAGATTGCTTCTTGATCTTGGCTTTGGCACAGGACATATCACAGCATTGGGATTTTCTTGGCACCTCTGACCTTCAGAAACTTCGAAGACTATTAAAGGATTCTCATTTTCTGAAGAAGACCTATTCAGCAGAGATGCAGAAGGCCTAGGAGGTTTAAGAGGACTCTGTCCTGCTAAGAGAAAAGAAAAGGTTTCAGTTATCTATTCCAGAACACTTTGTTATTTTTTGTCAGTCATCAGGACGGTAAATGTGATGGTTTTCATTCAGAACTTAGTGCTGCTTGTGGAACAGCAGTTCTCTTTCTAAACAGATGAATGGAAAAAAACCCCCACAAACCTCTAGGAAGAAGCTGAAGATTGCTGAACTGCACGGTATCTACATGTTGTGAGTTCAAAACTACTTGTTAGCTTGCACCATGAGGGGTATGCAAGCAACATCTAGACCAGAGACGAGTACAGTAACTTCTCCAGCTTGGTTTGCACACTTTTTAGTCTGAACGTGTAATGCGGCTGCTGTTCTGGACATCTGAGCTCCTCTGGCCCCAAAGCAATTGCCATTATGGCTGAATTGAGCAAAACTTTCAAGACTTAACCGTGAATGCAACGGTAGTTCTTCAGAAAAGAGGATTTTTACAGGAATTTACAGTAGTAATCATTCACAGAAATTTACTTGTTATTCATATTAAATGTGGCACAGACCAACAATAAAGACCATCTTAAGGAAATACAGTGAGGTTTTCACCAATGAGAAATCTAAACCAGCCTCACCTGGATAGCCTGCAGATTCCCAGTGTGTAGGCACACTGGTTTTTACATTAATTCCTGGCAAATGGCTGATCAGTTCCTCTGGAAAGTCAGTTTGTGTTGCAGAAGTAGTCGTATGTCTAGGAGCAGCAGCATTATTGTTATTTGTTGTATTGACTTGCACTTGATTGATTTCTTTTATCACCTGCTCATATGATGGTGGAAGCTACAAAACAGGGAGAAAAATATTAATATACGTCCAGATGTGATTTTTTTTTTAAAGAAGCATATAAATTTTAAAATACTAAATTAACATATGCAGAGGAAAAGAACACTGTCATAGTCTTTTATTCAGTGTGATGAAGTCTAAGCAAGCAAAAACTGTTCCTCTCTAACTTAACGTGCTTTTTACCTTTGTAAATCAAACACATCTCATATAAATTCATGCTCACCTCTGCTGGAATATTCTCATTTCTCCTCCACTGAGCATGAGATGAAGCAGAAGGGAATCCTAATCCCTGAGGAGTGACAGGGCTTGCACCTAGAAACCAGGAGGATGGCCGGAGGGGTTCCGCAGCGACTATTGTAATTTCGGGACGCCTGGAAATGAAGGCAAAGGGGAATAATTACCTAAACCACTTTAAAATAGTTCTTTTAAGTATAAAAGACTAGGGTTTTCTTGGCATGGGAAATAAAAATAGCTCAGGTCTTCTTGATTTAACCAAAGACGTTTTTCCATTATTTCAGTGTAACTTACCTGACCTTTCTAACAAGCAATTAGGCTTCCATTCAAAGCATCTAATTAAACGCCTAAGCCAAAAAGTAGGTTTATTGGCTTCAGTGAAATAATTTACATGCTTAAGTACTTAAACACAAGTGTAACTCAATTAGATGGAAGAAGTCTTAGTCTTCACGGGATAATGTGAACTAATAGTATGTTTGCCCTTAGCCTGCTACAATGTGAAAACAGTAGGATAGCTAAAATTGCTTCTGGCTGGCTACCTAAAAGCTTGTCTATCCTCAGACTTCTAAGGAAACCTCCCACTGTGCTAAAGTGGGGCAGAGCAAGCCTCACGAGGCCTTTGGGACAGGGCCCATTTGCTTATGGCATCTAGCACGATAGGGACTTCCATGACGGTTAAGGACCCGTAGGTGCTACCTCTGTTTTACCACTGTAACAACTGCCTCAGAGCGTAAGCTGCAGTGATGGCCCACGTTCCCAGACCATGGCCCCCAGCGTACCACTCATCAATCTGGAGTCTCACACAAAAGACACTTGGAGAAGCGAGTTTTGTAAGTAGATGAAGCATCTGCTACAGAAGTCTGTCTGCTGACAGAAAAATACCTGCAGAAATGGAACTTCTAAAACTACTATAGAAAGAATAAAAAAAAAAAAAAAAAGGAAAAACAAAAGAGGGATACAGTCCTTCACACGTGAAATAACAGCAGACTCAGTTCACCAGCTATCCAGGCAGGTGACCTCCTTTCTCAACACCCTTTGAGAAACTGGAAGGAGGCCTGAAAGTGTGCTTATTTTCATTGTGAAGTGATCCTGTAAATAGATGTCAGGAAAGCAAAACCGTTCTGCAGAGGTTTGATGGTTGGTTGCATTCTTTTTTTGAAGACATACATAAAATTTGATCAGAAAACTTCTCAAATTCTTAGTTTACCCTATGCTTAAGAACCACAGTATTTTTATTTTATTCCAAGTCTAATTTATTTTTAAACACACTAAGGATAGAGAAAAGGAAAAACAAATAAACTAGAGGAGAAAGCCATAAAAAAGTAATACTGTGACACTAACAAGTTTTCCAGTTAACATCTAATTGCAATATAAATAACAGCATCATACCTTCTATCCCTCTGCTGCTCACTATGGCTAGAGGTCCGAGAAGCTATTCAAAGAAAAGAAACAAAATTTTTGAAGATGTTAAAATATACTGTCACACAATAAGATGAGGAAAATAGCACAGCCCTTACCAATCCACTAACAATAAAATGGAGAACATACAGCATCTGATCATAAATTCCAGATTTTAAGAGTGGCCAAGTTTAAAAAAAATATTTGTACTAAATATGAGAAGTTTTTAGAAGGTTTAGGGTGCAGTTTCATGATCAGTTTAAGTCAGTCTATGTCCAAGCTACCACCAAGAAAGATGGTCCTGTCTCCTTTTTCTTCCTTGTCACAAGTTCCTGCATTCTGGTGACCCTAGAGTTGAAGTTTCTTTTTCTTTAGTTAAAATAATCCATGAATAAGACAAAAAGAAGTGTTAAACGCATCTGGCTTTGCTTTTGATAGCTCATTTCTGAGATGTGTTCTTTTTAATCTTTTTTAATGTCGTTTTGTTTGTTTTAGAGAAGGGAAAAGTACTACAGCACAAAATCTAAGAAGCTATTTCACCCTCTTTGATGTAAAAAGAAAAAAATTAAATGTTCCCAGCTAGGAATTTCGAAAAGTTTAATCACTTGTGGATTAAAAGTCAGTAACATTTCATTTTATTTTTTTTTCCAAACCATGTGTTTTAAGTTAAATAAAATAAGTGAATCCTGATCTCTCTGTTTTTCTATTTTTGCCATATGTATATAAAAATATTTTTTTCAACAGCCACTTTACATTTTCATTTTGATTTCTTTAAAGAGAAAAGAAAATTATCTGAGGGACAAATTTTTGCATAGCAAGTGCAATTTAGGAAGTGGTAGAATCTTGTTGTGCAAAATTTGACAATTATGCCGTTCCTGTGCCATCGCAGAATCATTAGCTGAGATCAGCAAAGCATACTTGATTCAAGAGTCGCATAGCGTTGTGTCAGACGTACCTCTTCGACAGGGCATTTTTGATGTGCACTATTCATGAGTGCTAGAGGAAAAAAAGAAGGGGTTACAGAAGAGGAAGAGGAGGTGAAGGAGAACAAACCAAGGCTTCTGAGTGCCAGAAACCATGATCAAATGGGTTAGTCACACAAGGATAGCGCACGTGCCAGTGCTGCAAGACGACAACTGTAATGTCTATTCACAATATAGTGTCTTAAAAAATGAAAACAAAAGCAGATTTTCTTTCTAGTGTCATGCTGATTTTAACAATGGCTGTTTAGAAGTTTCCCTTGCAATAAATTAACCATGAAGAGTATAACTGAATATGGAACGTCCACTGTATTGCTCAAGAAAGAGCCATTGTAGGAATGAGGAGAGTGAAGTCAAATCTCTTTGAATGCTTTATGTAGTTTAAAATCACAGTTCATTTGGGTCTGCGCTTTTTCCCTTCCAAAAATATTAGATTACACTGAGGAGCTGATACAGATGCAAAAAAGCTGGGATCCCATAATTTACACTCCCACCTACCAAAGAGGTATGGGCAGGCAGGCTGATGCTGGTAAGAGGCACACCTCAAAATTTTAGGCATTTTTACACATCTCCTAAGCCAGTTCTGTAAAAATTGTTTGGCAAAAATAAGTAAATAAAAATCCTCCACGCCTCATTTTCACTTTCTTCTTCAGACACCTCAATGCAGCATTGGTCTAATACACACATTAAAGATAAACTGACCCAAACCAACCAATTCCAAGATTACTTCTGCAAAGGGGATGGAAGAAAGTGTTCATTTAGTAAATGTATTCAATACAACTGCTTGAGGTATAGTCGAATTACAGTGATAAGGGCACTAGAAAAAAAAGCTAATTAATGAGAGACTTAAAACTGGATTATAAACCTGTCAATTTCTTTCATTCTTTCTTCATTTCTAGACAAATTCTACATGCTGCTTTCTCCTGCACTTTCTCCTTTCTCCTCTCACTTGAAAACAACACATTTAAAATATTTATATAAAAATAACTTTACTAGTACATACAAACGTGTCTTCAAAAGGGCTAATATCTAAGCCATAGTATGTTTTCAGAATGTGCTCATTCTGTTTGAAAGAAACAAATCTCTCAGGCATTTATGGAATCAAGCTACTTCCATGTACCTAAACATTTAATATAAACATTTATTTTTTAAGGACCTTGACAAAGTTCTTCCATCAACCACTTCCCTCTTTTTGCTGTTACATTTCTGTTACAACCACACTTTTAGAACACCTTTTGTTTTGGAAGCTCTTAAATCCACAGTAGGAGCAGAGGTGAAAGATG